ACAGCACTACCGTTTTATCATAAGTTGGGTTCTACCCTCGAGGAGGTCCCGGGCAGGGCCACGCATATTCTCCTCACATATCCCATTATATCTTTAGGTCTATTAATTAGGACTGATGCCTTCACTTGTATCCATTTTCTTCTTCCATAGGGGTCAGGGGTTAGAATATATTCATATCACAGGCATTACTATTAGTATGTTTATTACAGGTTATGGAATACTCAGGATTTTAGGGCGACAGTACTCATCATACTCCTTATATTCGTTAGGTAGGTCTTTTATAGATTATTCAGTTGAATCCACAAACTGACCTTACATCTCACTCATGTACGTTACATCATCGTATCGTTAGGTTCTAGGTATTCACGATTTACTGCCCAACCTCCTACTTGTGGCTGACCGTTACTTCACTACATATGCTGTTAGGCAGAACTGGATATCTACTTACATGACATACCACAATTCCTACTATATTTTGTTACCCCTGTAGATCTGCGCCAATCCACCTTCTGAGTCATACTGCATTTCTGACTACTTGTTCTCAGATCCGTCGTATTACACGTATCATTCGATACCTTACCCTGCCTCCCTTAGTTAGTTTCATTACTGGCTGGCAGGGCACCAGAAGACCAATAGCTTATACTTTCTCAGGCCTCTATGCCTTATGTTAGTGTTCCCGCGAGGCCAACATTCATCCTCATACTCGGAGGTATTACACCCATCGGCCCAACTCATAGTTAGTCGCTCACATGGTGGCATAGAGAGGGCCTCACCTGTCACTCCCATTCTATCTTATGCTTTATAAATAACCGAGAGGCCGACACCCGCCACAATTTTGGTGGCCACATAACCCCTACGGCATTTCTCGCGTATCTTTTTCCCCAACCACAAATACTGTATATACATAAATGCCCTTGGCTGCTTCTTTTCAGCTATTTACACATGTTTACCAGTCAGTTATGTGTACTTATTCACAGATACGTTGCACATATATTGTATGCACTCCTTGTACTATTTATGTTCATTCTTTTACATTCTGTGATTTTATTTCATTATCTGCATGTATACTCTATTTGCATGTATTCTTTTGGGTGCACTTATTAAATATGTACATGTATTAATGTACATTGTCTGCATATTATATATATGTACACAATCAGGTCTGTATACTCATAATACTCTGCCTACTGTTAAACATTGCAGACATGTAATTCACTTTACGCCAACAAGTACTGGAAAAGGTGTAGGAAAAACATCCTTTGTTTGTAATACATTAAAATAAATAACACATTACAACATTTTGCAAGAAAAATAAATTACATTTTTTTATTTTTTTTACAAGTTGCTTATCTTTAAAAAGTGCCCCCTGGTGCTTCACCAGTTGTGTCCTTACGGGGTTAAGATGCTCCAATCAGAAACTTCTCATTCTACAGGGACTGAGTTTATCATATAAATCCCTTTTTCCCCAATTATCACTCAGAATGATTGGGCCTGCTCATTAAACTGATTAGAAAATTGGGCTGTTATTTATTATTGGTAGAAAGAGAGTCAGTTTTATTGACAATTCTCACCCAGGTGCATAACTGAAAACCGCTGGGCCCTGGTAAAGGATTCAAGGAAAGTCTCTTTTGTTAGCCCTCCTTGCTAAACCATCCAATCTTATCTAAATGGATAAGAGCATCAACTGATTGCTATCAGCCAATGTAGCCCTTAGTGTGGATTAACTAATGTACAGGAACCGCGAGAGTATAACAGTAATGTCTATAGAGGAACCCACAAGACCACAGAAGGATCCATAGACTATATTTTGCTCTCTCTGAAAATGAGCTTTATTCCCACAGCCTTTGATAGACATGGATGATTAGTTCCTACTTTGTCTTAAGATATAGTGTTGACTATGCAACAAGTTAATTTGAGAATTTCAGGATATTATACCTATATAAAATACTCAATTTGTTTGTGAGGTGACAGAGCTGCTTTTAACTGCAGCCTCTGGAAGCATTACTCATTGCCAGGTACCAGGCCCTGGGACCTAGGGAACACTACTCCACAGGAAAACAATCACAAAAAGAAAAGTCAGGAATTGGGTCCAGGGCCCACCAGCTTGCCACTAGCACTGTAGGGGTAAGAGGGCAATACCCACACACCCATTTACATGCCCCAAAACTACCAGAATGCCTACTCTCCTCTGGTTTCAAATTTGGCAGTGCTTTCAGTGGTTACATGCTGGTCTTCAGTGGCTCTTCCTTAAGAAACCGGTCAGACTACTTTGAGCATCCTGTGGCTTTTACCTACTTAAGTTGGGACATTCTCCTATCTAGAAGCAGATATAACGGTTTCCACACTACCAGGGTTCTGGAACCTGAATAAGGTGAAAGGGAGAATACTGAATATACTGCTGGGAACATCTTGGAGCCCAATATTGGAGGTCTATTTGACCTATCTACATGCCTTTCTAGCCACTTTCAGTGGCACTGTGTTTGTGAGTGCAAAATTATGCTCTTTTTTATTGTTAGTTTGTATGTTTTTACACTATGTTATGTTATTTATATTCTTTTAAGTGATTAAAGCTGGAAAACACATATTCCATATTGGGATTATTGTAATACCTGCATTAACCAGGGGATTCAATATCAGTGTATATTTGCCATTTATTTGTGATTACAACATCTTACCAATACATCTTAATACTGTGCAGCACACCACACCAAATTTGCTTTCTACTGAAGTTTTACTCACAACTTGTTCTCTGATGCAGTTTCCTAAACAACTAGGAAGAACTGCCCAACCTGCCACTATGGACCAGCCTCCACTCACATCCACTAATGCTCACTGCTCATAAGGGTAAGGCTCCCAGTTTATCACTCTATGGCTCCACTATACACAATTCACATTGCAGGGTAGTTTTAAGTTCTGAGCAGCCTATCATTATTAGGAAATTTATATTTGATTTAATGGTATAGCCTGCTAGGCTGTATTTCAGTGCAGAAACTCACATGATCATGCAAATATTCCATGCAAATATCTCCTACATAGTGAAAGAATTCATCACATACAGTGAACATCAAGGCATAATAATTACTAAGACATCTATCCATACCCTACATCTTTAGGTGCTCACTTATGAGTAACAGGGGAATTACATAAATAGAGGGGATATGAGACGGGATATGATAACATTATACAAATATATTCAGGGCCAATACAAACCATTGTGTGGAAATCTATTCACAAACCGGACTTTACATAGGACACGAGGTCATGCGTTTAGACTGGAAGAAAGAAGATTTCGTCTAAGGCAAAGGAAAGGTTTTTTTACTGTAAAAACAATAAGTATGTGGAATTCTCTGCCTGAAGAAGTGGTTTTATCAGAGTCCATACAGATGTTAAAACAGCTACTAGATGCATACTTGCAAAAACAGAATATTCAAGGATATAATCTTTCAATGTAGGGTAATAACTGCTTGATCCAAGGATAAATCTGACTGCCATTCTGGGGTCAAGAATGAATTTTTTTCCAAGCTTGTTGCTAAATTGTGCTTCAAACTGGGTTTTTTGCCTTCTTTTGGATCAACAGCAAAAAACAAATGTGAGGAAGGCTGAACTTGATGGACGCAAGTCTCTTTTCAGCTATGTAACTATGTAAGATACATGACACTAATTCATGCCCCTCTTAGCTTTCTCTATTAAAGTGGTCATATTTCCAGTTCTAAAATGATTATGCCAAATTCTCCTAGCTTCCTTTATTCAAATGGTCACACGCTCAGTTCAAGAAGTTGGCCAGCTCTGAGTTCACGCTTTCAGTGGTTACAATTTGGAAACTGATTTTATATCATTTGCTCAATTCTTCATCCACCCAAGTAATGTCTAAATGAACCCAAATAATTAACGACTCACATTTTAAGGTGGTGTTTCTCTTCCTTATAGCTTTGTTTACTTCATGTGAATACATTCAATTTTTTTTCATGTTTATAGTTCTTTATTACAAATTTTAAAAACATACAAAAATATGGTGCGTGGGGACAGTGCATACCAATACATCTTAATACAATAGTTTAAAATGCAATGTTGCAGATATAAACCGTATCCACAAAGAAAATCAGGTCTTGCATAGTCCCATCATTTGCATCACATTCATACTAATACATTCATATATAAAGGGATTGCAGGTGCATCCGGTTAATTTAAGTAATTAATGTTTTAACAATCAAGAGAGCCATATTCACAATTTGTAACAGTTTGGATTCGCTTTATATTGTACATGGGTTGTGGGTATGGAGTGCACATCACTCTTTCTAAACCATATACTGGGTTTATTTAAAGGGACACTATAGTCACCAGAACAACTACAGCTTATTGAATTTGTTCTGGTGAGTAGAATCATTACTTCGGGCTTTTTGCTGTAAACACTATCTTTTCAGATAAAATGCAGTGCTTACATTACATCCTAGTGATACCTTCACTGGCCACTCCTTAGATGGCTGTTAGAGATCCTTCCTGGGTCATGACTGCCTAAAATGCATCCAAACATTCAGTATCTCCTCCCTCTGCATGCAGACACTGAACTTTCCTCATAGAGATTCATTGATTCAATTCATCTCTATGAGGAAATGCTGATTGGCCAGGGCTGTGTTTGAATCATGCTGGCTCTGCCCTGATCTGCCTCTTGGTCAGTCTCAGCTAATCCTATGGGAAAGCACTGTGATTAGATCTGGTCACAATTTCTGATGATGTCAGCAGACAGCTTGTTTTTCTGAGTCTAACAGCATGCAGAGTTACAGCTTCAGGCTCTAATACAGTAAGATGTTGCTATATTTATGGAGGCATGAGGGGTCCAGGGAGGCTAGATGGTGGTGTTAACACTGTAGGGTCAGGGATACATGTTTGTGTTCCTGACCCTATAGTGATCCTTTAATGTCAAATATATGATTCTTGGGTACTTAATCTATACCAGCTTTCTTAAAAGGAGCAAAGGTGAGAACAGCTCTGTGTAGTAATTAGTTATTGAGTTTTTGTTCCGATAACTGTGATAATTTGATGATTTATCAAACTATTTGTAAGAATTCTAAAATCCGAATGTTATATAATACACAAAGCAATTTCTTCCAGAAAAGTTTTGACATTTTCAAAGCGGAAGAGTGGGGATAAAACAAATCCCTATTGGGTCAGTTGTTGGTATCTCCAATTACTGGATTTAGATGCAGTTCGCAGGCCAGAATTGCAAATATAAACATAAGAAGAAACAGCAGAAACAGAACATAGACCACATGCTTTATAGTCTTGACCAATGCTGTTATTAAAGTCTGAAGGGGAAAGAGAAGGCATTTGGTTTGTTATATGATTCTAACCTTTTTGATGGTAGTCTCACTCAAATATCATGTTCAACTTAAAATGTAATTTATATATCAGCTATAATTATCTTGGCTCTTTTTTCATTGTTTGAGTTAGACTACCCACTTTTAAAAATGAGAAACTCTGTATTTTATATAGTTACAAAAGTTGTTTTCTGGCGATACAGTTTCTGACACCTCAACTGTCAGCAAAGAATAATGAGTAAGGAGCTCTCTTGTTGCCACATTAGTCATTACTTCCTCTTGAGATTAGAAGGACAAAAGTGTGCTGGTGTTATACTTTGCCAATACTTTGCCAATCCTTAATTTTTCTTCCTTATTCATTAAAGGGACACTATAGTCACCAGAACAACTACAGCTCATTGAATTTGTTCTGTTGAGTAGAATCATTACTTTCAGGCTTTTTGCTGTAAACATTGCCTTCTCAGAGAAAAAACAGTGTTTACATTACAGCCTAGTGATTGAGGTGCTTCCTGGGTCATGGATGCCTAAAATGCATCCAAACATTGTCCCCTCCCTCTGCATGCAGACACTGAACTTTCCTCAGAGATTAATTGATTCAATTCAACTCTATGAGGAGATGCTGATTGGCCAGGGCTGTGTTTGAATTGTGCTGGCTCTGCCCCTGATCTGCCTCCTTGTCAGTCTCAGTCAATCCTATGGAGAAGCACTGTGATTGGATCAGGCTACCACTTCTCATAATGTCAGCAGACTGCTTGTTTTTCTGAGTCAAACAGCATGCAGAGTTACAGCTTCAGGCTTGAATACAGTAAGATTTTACTATATTTATGGAGGCATGAGGGGCCCAGGGGGGGGGCTAGATGGTGGTTTTAACACTATAGGATCAGGAATACATGTTTGCAGGCCCGGACTGGCCATCGGGCACACCGGGCAAATGCCCGGTGGGCCGCGGTGGCCATGGGCCGAGGCCGGCAGGGGAGCTCCCAGGATCTCCCCTGCCGGTCTATGCAGGGCCGGCACTATCCGAGCGCCGGCCCCGCTGTTTTCCATGAAGGGCCGGTGAGGGAAATCAAAGATCTCCCTCACCGGCCCACATGCTGTATAATGCGGCCGCGGGCAGGGGGAGAGGGAGGGAGACAGCCGCTAGGAGAGAGGACCCGGCGGAGCTCTAAATTAGAGCTCCGCCGGGTTCCTCTCGCGAGATCCGGCGCGTTGCCATGGCAACGACCGGATCTCACCACAAGGACCACCAGGGAACCCCCCCTCCCAGTCCCAGGGAGCCGCCGGTTATTTATTTAGGCCCCTCCCCCCTACACACACAATCCATTCTAACATTTATACAGCACTCTCACACCCATCTACTCACACACCCATCACTCTCACACACAGCACTTTCTCACACACAGCACTCTCTCACACCCATCACTCTCACACACAGCACTCTCTCACACACAGCACTCTCTCACACACCGCACTCTCTCTCACAGCACTCACACACAGCACTCACACACAGCACTCTCTCACACAGCACTCTCTCACACAGCACTCTCTCACACACAGCACTCTCTGACACACAGCACTCTCACACAGCACTCTCACACACAGCACTCTCTCACAGCACTCTCACACACAGCACTCTCTCTCACAGCACTCTCTCACACAGCACTCACACACAGCACTCTCTCACACAGCACTCTCTCACAGCACTCTCTCACAGCACTCACACACAGCACTCTCTCACAGTACTCTCACACACAGCACTCTCACACACAGCACTCTTTCACACAGCAGTCTCTCACAGCACTCACGCACTCTCACACACATAGCACTCTCACACAGCACTCTCTCACACAGCACTCTCACTCACGGCACTCTCACACACATCATACACAGCACTCTCACACTCATCAGACACACACACATCACACAGAGCACTCTCACACACCGCACTCTCACACACATCACACACCGCACCCCTCAGACACACATACTGCACCCCTCACATACACATAGAACCCCCTCAACACACTGCACCACACACATACACAATACTTCCAAATATATATTTATATATATACACACACACTACACTCTTAACATACACACTCTGGATCCCCTATACACACACTAGATTCCTTGTAAGCAAACACATACTACACCCCTAAACATACACTACATCACCTATATACACACACACACACACTATAGCCTGTATGCACACACTTGCTATATCCCCAATACACACATTCTCTACAGCCCCTAGCCACATATGCATCACATTACACCACAAACACAACATGACTAAAACCAACCTTATTACACAATACCGCACCACAATCAGCTCACTCTACACACACGCAATACCACAAGCAGGTTCCAAACACATGCACAATACTCTTTCCTGGCATTTTTGTTTCCTGGTATCTTTATAGAGACACCAGAGACAATTTGCAAGGAAACACAGTGCAAGCATGTTATTAAATTTGCTTGCACTGTGCAGAACAAATACAGGGCTTTTTTTATCATGCTAGAGCTCTTCAGCAGAGCTCTGCGCATGGTCTGCCCTGGAAGAGCATTGAACCAACATGCTCACTTTGAGAGGGGGCGTGTTTGTCATTGGTGATGACAAAACACACCTCCTCTGCCCCCGCCCCCTTCTTAGTGGGCCGCTGTGTTAAAAAAATGCCCGGGCCGAATTTTTCTCCCAGTCCGGCCCTGCATGTTTGTGTTCCTGACCCTATAGTTATCCTTTAAGTTAATGTGAGACTATAGTCACCAGAACCACTACAGCTTACTGCTTCACTTTAGTAAACAATCCTAAAAGTACTTTGTGCATCCAGCCCGTGAGAACCTTTGGCATTATTTTTGCAATGCATCTTAAGGAAAACATATTGATTTCCTTTTTTGTAAAAACATCTATGCAATTTCTGATTGTAGTTGGAAGTCAATTCAGATTCCCAACAGAGCATATATTACCTTTGAAGGATAAGAAAATGTGTGTTCTCAAACCTTTGTGTCTTGAAAAATATGTTGTGCTGTATGAAGACTATTATGTAGTATTATAAAATGTGTGAAGATTTAATGGTTAGAATGTTTTCTGTCTTCTCTCCCACCATTCAAAAGTTCACAGTCCAAAAATAAATGATGTATTTGGTTCAGCCTTGCTTTAGTACCCTGGACCAACTTAAAGAGACACAAATGCCCTATTAAAGCACATATGGTGTCATTTTTTTTCTGCTTGCATCCTTTAAGTGCCCTAAGGGTACATTGAGCTGGAAATGAGATGGAATCAGTTGCCATCAGCCAAAAACAAAAGGATTTACAATGTAATGTTCAAGATTTTTGGAACTGTTTCAGCTTTGATGATTGTTTAAAAATTCAGAAATACCTTCAGAACATTAACACATATATGAATGTAAATTGCATTGCTCAGCTAGGATACCTTAAAATATGCCAGAATTAAAATGTTAGGGAATTGTAAACAGAATCCTGTCAATGCTTGTACAGTTTTTATCTGGTGTTCTACTAAATAAACAAAACAAGTAACTGTTTTAATGTAATTTCCTGTAGTGGTAAACAAAGGAAGAAACTGGAAATATATATAACACTGCTAACGTGATAACATTGCTTTAACCTTGTGAACACAAAGAAAATCAAGTCACTGGTTATGAAGATCAGAACAGAGGATAAAGCAGGAGGGAAGGGAAAGCAGGCTGCAAGAGCCAACACATAACAATTAAACATCCTCAGCCTGCAGACTGGACATCAGGTAGGGTGACAATAAAAGTGTATATTTTGCCCTGCATGTATCTTAAAGGACCACTATAGTGCCAGGAAAACATACTCGTTTTCCTGGCACTATAGTACCCTGAGGGTGCCCCCACCCTCAGGGACCCCCTCCCGCCGGGCTCTGGAGAGAGGAAGGGGTTAAACACTTACCTTTCTCCAGCGCCGGGCGGGGAGCTGTACTCCTCCTCTCCTCCTTGCTCGCGACGTCATCGGCAGGAGCCGCGCGCGCATTCAGCCGGTCGCATAGGAAAGCATTTACAATGCTTTCCTATGGACGCTTGCGTGCTCTCACTGTGATTTTCACAGTGAGAAGCACGCAAGCGCCTCTAGCGGCTGTCAATGAGACAGCCACTAGAGGCTCTGGAGGCTGGATTAACCCTCAGTATAAAAATAGCAGTTTCTCTGAAACTGCTATGTTTATTAAAAAAAAGGGTTAATCCTAGAGGGACCTCGCACCCAGACCACTTCATAAAGCTGAAGTGGTCTGGGTGCCTAGAGTGGTCCTTTAATGTTTGTCAGTATGTTTTTTTTTTCTGTATGTCTGTCAGTGTGTGTATCTGTATGTCTGCCAGTGTGTGTGTCTATCTGTATGGCTGTCAGTGTGTGTATCAGTATGTCTGTATCTTTGTGTCTATCAGTTTGTTTGTATCTGTATGTCTGCCAGTGTGTGCATATGTGTCTGTTTGTGTGTGCTCATCTGTATGTCTAAATGTGTGTGTATCTGTATGTCTGTCTATATCTTTGTGTCTATCAGTGTGTGTGTATCTGTGTCTATATCTGTATGTCTGTGTGTGTATCTGTAATTCTGTCAGTATGTATATATATGTATGTATGTCTGTCCGTGTGTGTATCTGTGTGTCTGTCAGTGTGTGTAGCTGTATGTCTGTCAGTGTGTGTGTCTGTGTGTGTATATCTGTATGTGTATCAGTGTGTGTGTGTGTGTGTGTATCTATCAGTGTGTTTGTATCTGTATGTCTGTCCGTGTGTGTGTATTTGTATGTCTGTCAGTGTGTGTGTCAGTGTCTGTATCTGTATGTCTGTGTATCTGTATGTCTGCCTGTATGTGTGTGTACCCATATGTCTGACTGTGTGTGTATCTGTGTGTTTGTTAGTGTGTGTGTCTGTATGTCTGTCAGTGTGTGTGTGTATTTGTATGTCTGCCAGTATGTGTGTACCCATATGTCTGTCTGTGTGTGTGTGTGTGTGTGTGTGTCTGTATGTATGTATGTATTTATGTGAATCTGTGTGTTTGTCAGTGTGTGTTTATCTGTACGTTTGTCAGTGTGTGTTTCTGTATCTATGTCTGCTGGTGTGTATCTGTGTGTATCTGTATGTCTATCAGTGTGTGTGTATCTGATAGTGTGTGTGTATTTGTTTGTCTGTCAATGTGTGTATCTGTATCTCTGTCAGTAGGTGTGGGTGTATTCATATGTCTGTCTGTGTGTGTATCTGTATGTCTGTCAGTGTGTGTGTGTATCTTTGTGTTTATCTGTATGTCTGTCAGTGTGTGTGTCTGTATGTTTGTATCTGTATGTCTCTCAGTGTGTGTATCTACATGTATGTCGGTTTGTGTATTTGTATGTTTGTCAATGTGTGTGTATCTGTATCTTTATATGTAATTGTATACATTTACTTGGAAAGTGAGGCACTAAAAACGTATCTGCGGCCCGAAGAAGTTTAACCTGCTGCCAAGTTGTTCAGGTCTGGTTTAAAACAATGTTTCTTTGAGATGTAGAGGGATGAGACAAATGGAGGGGTGGAGGATGAACCACATAGAGGGTTGGGGAAATGAGACACATGGAGAGGCTGATGAAGCTGGGGAGGTGTGAGACACATGGAGCTGCTGGGGGGAGGGGATGAGAAACATGGAAGACTGGGGATAGTGAGATGTATGGAAGGGCTGTAGGGAAAAAGATGCATGGGGGGATCCAGGGTAATTTTTGTATCAGGGCCCAGTGATTTCTAGTTATGCCTATGTGTGCATCCCAACAATTCTGACACACTGAACAACTACAGCTTAGTATATACTACTATTAAACATTCTTTGGCCTAGAGGGGGTATTCTCCCCCCCCCCCCAACCCTCTGATTCTGATATTCCTTCTATGCTAATTGAATTTACTTTAGAGGTTATCCAGTTTATTTTGGAAAACAACATTTTGGTTTTCTGATTGTTTTTATTTCCCGGTGGTAGGGAATGCTATGGGAACAAGGTTCGCTCCCTGCCAATTTATGTATGGCACATTGTGAAAAGCATTTTGTTTATTGTACCCAAGAGATTAACTTGGAAAGACAAATTAAAATCTTCTCCATCCATTTTACCTATTATTCAAAGTCACTCAGACTGCAGTGATAAATGTCACTAGAAAAAAAAGGGCATATTCTATAACAAGATTAATCCCTGAGGGATATTGTTCCATTGAACCCAAAATGTATCTTTAGAGGCATGAAAAATGTAAGATTTATTTTTTATTAATAAGGGCAAAATGGAGAAACCTGAATTTTTTAAAAATATCTGTAAGGGTTTCCATTATGGAACCCTCTTGGCCTGTATGGAGACGGGTGCCGGGAAAAGAACTATAAAAAAGTTTACATATAGTGATAAGAATGATAAGATTAGAGATTTAATCACTTGTCACTCTAACAATATCATTTATGGTTTGGTTTGTCCATGCAATCTTTTTTATATAGGAAAAACCACCCGAGCTCTCCATACCCATATGAAAGAACATGTTAGGAAAATAAAAAATCAATTTTTCTATCATAGTGTACATGTACAAGTTAAGAAAAACATGGAGTTATCTAAAGTTGCTTAATTTTATTGCTATTGAAAAAGTGAAACACTGGAGAGGGGAAGATTTCATTTAAAAATGCTAGGGCAGCAAGAGATGTGATGGATACAAACACTAGGTACAATTATACCCAAGGGATTAAACGCAGACTTTGAATTATGTAATTTCCTTTAATTATAATATATATATCTTGATTTTATTTTCAAAGATCCTGTTCAAAAGTTACCAATATGTCTTAAAGATACAAGATCTCTACTATCTGAAATGGATCAGCTCCTACACCCAGAAAAAACAGTCACCTTAACTATTTATGATATACAGAGTTTATTCACTGTAATCCCTCACGATGAAGGTATAGAAGCCATGAAATGAATCTTGCAAAATTCATCAGAATTTCAGACTCCTTTCCTGGAATTTCTTTGACTCACTTTGACAAAGAACTATTTCAGTTTTGAATAGAAATAATATATGCAAACTTTAGAAACTTCCATGGGTGTTGAAATAGCACCCAGGCATGCCAATTGCTTCATGTATGAATTTAAAATGACACATATCACACAGCCATTTAAATAAAAAATCTTACTTTCGCTTCATAGATGACATTCTCATCATCTGGAGGGGTACAATTGATCACAACTTGTACATTTGGCTCATTCCTTAAGGGGTTAATCTAGATCAGGGGTAGGCAACCTTCGGTATTCCAGATGTTGTGGACTACATATCCCACAATGCTTGTACAGCCATAATTCTGGCAAAATCTCATGGGAGGTGTAGTCCAAAACATCTGGAGTGCCAAAGGTTTCCTACCCCTGATCTAGATAATAATAAACCAAAATTACTACAACTGGAAACTGACAAATGATATCCTCATTCTATTAACCCCTTAAGGACCAAACTTCTGGAATAAAAGGGAATCATGACATGTCACACATGTCATGTGTCCTTAAGGGGTTAAAGACTTGATTTGTCTCCCAATTTAAAAACAAACAAAGGGGCGTGGTCTGACCATCGATGAGACTAGACGTGTCTCACTAGAGCTCCATAGTAAACGCACCCAAAAAGCTGACAAAAGCGACCTTCTTTAAAAGATTTCTCCTCCGTAGGGATACATTCTTGTTATTGTTTAGGACAACAAGTAACTATACCCTAGCTTCCCTGAGTGTATATGACAAGTAAATCGCATTCTTCTGTGAAAATTAAAGCTCATTCCAACTCAATAGGCAAAAGAGGTGCGGGGTGATGCAGGAGCATGGGGGTCGAGGCGCGGTGGGTGCGGTGGGGGGGGGGGTCCCTGTGGGGGACATCAAGATTCCAACGATAACCGAAGTGTTCCATTAGACGAATGGGAGGAATTGGGACTATCCAGTGGATTAGCAGATGGGGGGATGCCGGGGGATGGGTGGGCAGGGGAGGCCTGGGCCCCTCCCCGGCCCATACTGGGAATCGAGAGACAGAATTACATAATAGTGGACCCCAAGAACCTATAACAATAATTCAAAAGAGGAAGGTCAAGAGAAAGTATCTTGGAGAGGGATACATCAACGTGTTTTAGTAGAACATAGAGGTCGAAACATAACAGGAAGAGTGCGTAGGAGTTTTAGGGATCCACAGCTCCTCCCAACGTTGATCGTGGTGGGAATGTGGAAACACGTGACCCATGACATTCTGGCTACAAGTAAGACCAGAATTCTTTCCTGCATCGGGCAGAGTCCATTGTTATCTCTCTCTCTTCTTCTATTTTCTTTCTTCCCACCCTTCCATTCTTCTACTTGGGTCGGTGGGGGGGGGGTCCAGCGGGGTTACCATGGTTTACGGCAGGAAAGGACCAAAAAACCACAGAGACAAGACATTTCAGTAAAGACAACCACATCTCACAATGGAGATCAAGATTACCACGTTAAACGTTAAGGGCCTTAACGCCCCTAAGAAGCACCGCCTCATGTTCAAGGAACTAAAGAGGATGAAATCGGAAATAGCTTACGTACAGGAGACCCATTTACCTAAACAGGCCATGTTCAGACTGAGGGAACACACCTATACTGGATCATACAAAGCCAGATCTTACCATACATGTAAGGGAGTGGCCATCCTAATTAGACGTAGCTGCCCCTTCCAGATGACATTACAGGAGACAGATCCAGAGGGCAGGTACATTTTCATTTGTGGGCATCTTACACTCACACTCCATTTACCTAGTAAATATTTACGCCCCAAAACAACTGGATGCCGGCTTTTGGAATACAATACGGGACAAGGTCACAGCACTGCCACACGGTATGATTTATATGGGGGAGATTGCGGCCCCGTGCCCAGCAGTAGACAGGAGTTCAAGAGACGGAGTCCCAAGAACCCAAGGGAGAGGTGGACAGGACCGGAGGCTCAAAGAATTTATAGCAGACACGGGGATGTTAGACACCCGGGAGATAGAGACTACTCATTTTACTCAGCTCCCCACGGGACGTATTCTAGGATAGATCTATTCTTGGCCAACGCGACATGCATCTCTCGAATAGTGGGGTCTGCGGTAGGCAATATATCGTGGTCAGACCACACGGACGTGGCTATCACATTGGGCAACCTAGGCATAGCGTCACCATGGACATGGAGATTGAACACGTCATTGCTACGGGATCCGAAGCTACAAGAGCAGATACAGAGGGACATAACTGAATACTTCAACACAAACAACACCCAAAAAGTGAATGTGAGCACGGTATGGGCGGATTGAGTCCATGATGGTGGGTCTGGATGTCCCCCAGTTTACGATGTGGGTCCCTAAGGAACATAGACCCATGATAAGGACAACATGCCCGGCCATACTCAATTCGCTCCAGCTATGGGACGCAAACAACACCAAGTATGGTCTGGCGTCGTCCCCCTCCCCTATGGCCCCAATACTCAGAAACCGAAAATTTCAACCTGGAATGACCCCCAGAGAATTTAGAAACATAGAAAGTACCGGGCTACAACAGATCCACAAACTATATCGAAACGGAGAAATTGTCCAATTTGAAGAACTCCAACAAGGTACTCACTTAACCCTTGCAGATTTTTTTAGATATGTCCAGATACGAGATTTCACTAGAAGACCCCATATTAGAACTGCAGCCCAAGGAAAGCTATCTTTTTACGAGAGATTATGCTTTGATGGAGTCGCGCCCAAGGATATGATCACTCTTCTATATGCTCATCTTAGTATTGAAAATAAAGAATGGGGTAGACTACCATACACCGATCAAAGGGAGGGAGACCTGGGGGAGGTCCTAGAAGGAATTGAGTGGCAGGAGATATGGGAAGCAAACAAAAATACTTCCATATGTGTCACACTACAGTAGCAGGCATGGAAAACCATGCTCAGATGGTATACTACTCCAGTAAAACTATATAAAATGCACAAAATAGACATGGATGATTGTTGGAAAGGCTGCGTAACAAGAGGTAATTATATTCATATGTGGTGGGAATGCCCGAAGTCAGTAGAGGACTTACTGAAACAGACGTTCGACAGACCACTAGTTATGGACCCGTGGATATATTTGCTAAACAAATCAATTGATGGGTGGACAAAAAAGAGCAGAAACTGGTACATAAGATAACTAAGTGTTTCGGGGGGTGATATCCAGGATAAGAGAATGTAGAATCGTGGACGACCTGACAGCAAGGGTTAAGGGGATGACAGCAGAATTCCAGAGACTTTGGGAACTATGGGACAACAGTATAGTGGGATCAAGTGGAGACTGACAGGGATCAGAAAGTGATACGGACTTGGACTGGCCACGGAGATCCTCCTTAGCGAATTGGGGGGCGGCTACTCTACCAGGCAAAATGAACCTCTTGGCAGATTTCCAGAGCTGAGTTGAATTGGATCCAGCAGAATGGTTGCATTTCCTCGTCATTGATACATTACTCAGAACTGAAACAGGTCTACTTTTTCTGCCTATTTTTAAATATGGGGAATTTTTTATGACTGGTGTGCCCTCAAGCTCCTTCTGTTAATGACATTCTTCAGTTTGAGCCTGGGTTCACTATGATTTCAAGTCTCTGCTCTCTTTATTTTACTGGAAATGAAATTGGACATTAATAGATTTTCAAAGGCTGTTTTAAAACATGCACCCACTGATTAAAGCGGCACTGTCATGTCGAACTTACCTTTCTCCAATTGCTTCTTCATGTCTGCTCTAGTTTTCTTTAAAACATAAGACAAAGTAGGGACTATTTTGTCTTGTGTATTTTTCCTACGCTTGACCAGCTTTGACCCAGGGGAGGAGCAAAGTCCGCTCCATTTCCTGTGGTCAAAGCAAATTTCCAACAATTCTCACCTTCAACCTCCTGCTTCATTCAGCATTCGAACGCTGGCAAAATTACTGAATTTCGTCCTAACAGATTGAGAACAGTTTGTCCATTCGTGTTAGGACGCAATTCAGGACTTTTGTTCAGATCTGAATTTCATTCGAATTAAAGGACCACTCTAGACATCCAGACCACTTCAGCTTAATGAAGTGGTCTGGGTGCCAGGTCCAGCTAGGGTTAACCCATTTTTTTATAAACATAGCAGTTTCAGAGAAACTGCAATGTTTATGAATGGGTTAAGCCTTCCCCCAAAGCCTCTAGTGGCTGTCTCATTGACAGCCGCTAGAGGCGCTTGCGTGATTCTCACTGTGAAAATCACAGTGAGAGCACGGAAGCGTCCATAGGAAAGCATTGCAAATGCTTTCCTATGCGACCGGCTGAATGCGCGCACAGCTCTTGCCGCGCGTGCGCATTCAGCCGAGTGGGAGGAACGGAGGAGGTTTGGAGGAGGAGAGCTCCCCGCCCAGCGCTGGAAAAAGGTAAGTTTTTACCCCTTTCCCCCTTCCAGAGCCAGACAGGAGGGGGACCCTGAGGGTGGGGGCACCCTCAGAGCACTATAGTGGTCCTTTAATGAAACTCTGATCCTATTCGTGCCGCGAGTAGTTAGCTCCCTAATTCAACTAAACTAAAAGGCTAAAAGACCTAAATTGGTGATTAGGGGCATATCTACTAAAAAAATACCCCCCAACATTCTAATAAAATGCCCCCTAGTGGGGCACCTTTAAAAATAATCCACAGGGGCCCCCACTTATGCACCTAGTGACACAATAGGGGGCAGGACCTATTGTCATCATCCCCAGCCCCCACCCATGAGTGGCAGGTTGGGGCCCTAGTGAAAATAGGGGAGGAGGACCTAATGTCCGTACCCCCCACCCCCAACCATGAGCAGTGGGTGGGGGCCCAAAGTGAAAATAAGGGGGGACCTATGGGTAAAAGTAACCCCACAAGGTGACGAGTCAGCACCCCTAAATAAAATTAATTCCCTCCCTCCCCGAACCCTAAAAATAGTGAGGCGGAAGAAATATACACAATAAAGGCTCCCAGGTGTACCTCACAGACACCCAACAAATAGTTAAAACAAAGAAAAGTGGGAAAAAACACCCAGTATACGTATATGAAAAATTGTAATAACCTGGAAATATGAACCAGGATGGGTGGATCAATACCAGATCTATAATAGTAACAAACAAAACATAGCGTAATACAGTCAAATTAGGCAAAAAAGATATGTGGTGTTGGTAGAAAACTCACAAATGTATGATAAATCAGGCTTCTCACCCCACTAGGGGTTAAAACGAATCAGGAGTGTTGTAAATCTCAGGTGGTGAAAATTCTTGGTTTATATATGAAAAGGAAAAAGACCGCACATAGTGAGGTATTATTAAAACCAAAAGAATATTTATTAGAATGCACTTACAGACAGGAAGATATCATAGGCATATCTCCACAGAAGATGGAACTTAGCAGCAGTGTGGTGAGATCTTGAAATACCACCAGCAGCAGAGTGGAGAATAAAAAAACAAATAGTCAAAGTTAAAATATTAAAAAACAAAATCCATGAAAGTCCATATATTGTAGTTAAATCCAACGCGTTTCGTCCAATCAATAGAGGCCTCCTCAGGAATCTATGGGAATGCATTGTAATGGGGACTTCTTATAGTGCTGGTAACCCTTGTGGATCCATTTCACATGATAGTTGGCGTGCGTTCCATTTCGGAACGCAATGACGTACATCCTGTCTGACCAAGGCAATTAGCGTGGTCGTTCATATGAATGTAGCATTCGAATGAATACAGAGGCAGCACGTGCGCATGCTACTGAAAACGCATAGGCGCGCGTAAAAGGTAAAACCACAGGAAATCTGAAGGGAAAATAAGACCGAATAGGCGAACAGTCGCCTTAAACACAATAACAAAATCTAAGTGGTGTATGAACATCAAAAAGAACAGCAGACCTAACTAGTATACTGTGCTGTGTGTAAACGACTAAGGGAATGGAAACATACTTTAATGTAAAACGGATAGAAATAATAGATGTATAGTTTATGATGATGGGAAATAATATAAAATAGAAAAATAGAAAATAAAATAAGAAATGTAATATTGAAAAAAATATGGAAAATATTAATTTTTTTATATTTATATATATATATATATATATATATATAAAATATATAACAAACCCTTAAGAAGTAGCAAACAACAAAGTATTACTATAACAAATGGATACATCGTATGCAAAACAGGTATTAAAACGAAAAAGCTTCTTGGCGAATAAGTTCCTGTAGTTTATCGCCCCTCTCAAACCTAAATTAATCTGATCTATACAAAATGCTAGAAAATTATTCCAACGAAAAGAAGAACAAGAGTTACAATGTTTTGGGACATTATGATCAAGTTTAACCTTTTTAATGTTATTAAAGTGCTCCAAAAGTCTAACATGTAGTTTTCGTGTGATACAGCCCATATACTGGGCTCCACAACCACACTGTAACAAATAAATCACAAAAGTGGAGGAGCATTCGATGTGTTTTTTTTATGTTATATGTTTTCTTAGTGTAAATGCCCACAAAATTCACAATTTTTCTTTTTTGATATTTACATGTGGAGCAATGACCACAACGGAAAAAAACACATATTGGAGTTTGGAGTAGATTGTTGAGGGGTGGGGGGCAGAGGGGTTAGTAGGAAGGAGACCAATTTATTTTTTAAATTAGTTGCTCGTTTATATATTACTGTTGGAATTTTTTGTAGAATATCTTTAAGTATATTGTCCCTCTTCAAAATATACCAATATTTCTTAAGAACTTTTTTTTTAAAAATTCGCCTGGGCATTATATTGTGTTATGATAGCAAATTGGAATTTTTATTTTTTTTATATATAATTGACAATTTTTTATTTTCATGTTTGCATAAAAGTAAACGTAAAAGTAAACATCTGAGGGGTACAGAAAAAAAGAGGGGGAGGGGGTTACATAGCTTTCATTATACACGACATGTCAAGTTTGATTGGAATCTATACATCGTTTGTACTAGAATTGTTTGCTGGTGATGTTGCGTGCCTATAATTGACTGCATGGTCTTATTAATGTAGTTCGGTCCCTAAGTGGTGCTGGGGGTACCATGCCTGCTGTGGAAGAACATAATACACATTTACATAAAACTATGTACAAGAATCTGGTTACACCTATGTATGCTTCTCCTTGTGTCAAGGTTCTCTGTTGTGTTGGGTTTGATCTAGGCTTAACAGTTGGGTCTGTTGCGCTTGAGCTTTGTGTCCCTTTTTCGGGGTTACTATCTCTGTTTGCTTTTGTCATTGTTCCAACTCCGCCTTCAGTTAGTTTTAGTTGTTTTGCTTGTCATGATGGGTCATACGATGTGTTTCTGTTTGTTTTGAGGGTTTTTGCTTCGTATTGGAGCCACATGTTGTATGACTCTGTGTTTGTGCGGTCCGCCTGCCCTAGTGTCCCCGCAAATATTTCATATATCACATTAGTGGATGATAGGTTGAGTATCTCTGTTTTGGTGGAAATCGCTGGGGACTTCCATTGTCTTGCTATTAATGTCATTGCCGCTATCGTGATGAGATAGATTAGCTTTCGTATGGGTTTCGTGAGATTCTGTGGTAAAATGAGTAGATACAAGTCTATAGTAGGTTGGATCTTTGTACCTGTACTATTTTTAATGATATCTTCTACCTCTTTCCATACCGGGTGTATGTGTGGACAGGTCCACCAGATATGTAATGTGTCTCCTTTTGGCTCTAGGCATCTCCAGCACTTGGCGTCAGTGTTGTTGTACATTTTATTCAATTTGCTAGGGGTGAGGTGCCACCTGTACAGTAATTTTCTAGAAACTTCTAGATGAGAGGCGCACCGTGTTGTGCCTTTGTGTGCTAAGAAGGCTCTTCCCCACTCCTGGGGTGTCAATTCCCTCCCTATGTCTTTGTGCCATTCTTTTTGAAATCCCCACAGGTGACCCCCAATGAGTATATTATAGCAGAGTGATAGAGTTTTGACCTGCTGTCTCCTGTCGAGGCATTCATTTTCAACTTCAGTTAGTTTTGGTTCCCCATTCGCTGCCTTTTTGTGTGTGCCTTCAGTTCGTAATGTATGGTGTAGTTGCATGTATGAGAATTGGGCCCTGTTTGGTACTTTATGTTGTGTTTGTGACACCGCCACGTCACCCTGGGTTTCTTGTTTTGCCATCCACATCTCAGAAGTGTTGACTGCAGTGCTTTAAGGTATTTGGAGGGGACATTTATTTGTAGTGTTCGAAATAGATATAGAATTTTTGGCAAGATCATCATTTTGATGGCCGCGCATCTGCCCACCCAGGATAGGTATTTGCCCTCCCAAGTTTTCAATGTATTCTCAATTTCCGTGTGGAGTTTTTGATAGTTCATTGTGAAAAGCGAGTTATAAGTTTTCGTGATTTTGATACCCAGAAACGTGAGGTAATCCTCTCTCCATTCGTAGTTAAATGCCGCTTTGAGTCTGGTCAATGCGGTGTCCTCTATGCCTATTCCCATTGCTTGGGTTTTAGTGATGTTTAGTTTGTAGTATGAGTGTGCGCTTGTCACGATTCGGGGAACCAAACACGCCAACACACACACACACACACAAAGTGCCGTACCGGACCTTAGAGTGGCCGGGCTAAGCACACAAAGAATAGTCAGGAACAAGCCGAGTAAGGGGAACCAGAAGACAGAATAACGTGAAACAAGCCGAGGTCAAAGGGTAGGAGAAAGTCACAGAGTCGGATAACAAGCCAGAGAGTACGTAACCAGAAGCACAAGTTCAGAATCAATACTAACAAGCAAAGACCACAACAGGGCAAGGAGGAACAGGAAAGGTAAGTATTTAAACCATCAGGTTAATTCTGATTGGATGATTTCCAATCAGAATTAACAATCACACGTGGGAGATATTTAGACCTCCCACTGTGATTCTGGCACTTTAACGCCGGGTCAGGTGACTGAACCCGGCGTGTATAACCCTGGGCGGTCTCCCAGCGTGCAGCGTCATGCATGCTGCCGCTGGGGGACGTGGAGGGAACGGCGGGCGGCATCCGAGGCTGGAAGGATGCCGCTCGCCGTACCCACGAGGTGGAGGGGACCGCGGACGGCTGGAGGGTGAGTACTGCGAGCGGAGTGCAGCCTCCCCTCGCAGCCGTCCGCGGGAGCCTGACATTACCCCCCCCTCGAAGACCACCCAGGGGGTGGGAAGCGGAAGGCTTCAAAGGAAAGCGGGCATGAAAGGAGCGGACCAAAGAGGGAGCGTGCACATCGGAGCTTGAAACCCAGGACCGCTCCTCAGGGCCGTACCCCTTCCAGTCCACCAAATATTGCAGCCGACCCCTAGAAACACGAGAGTCGAGAAGGGCAGCCACCTCGTACACGTCGTCAGAGACAGCTCGAGGGGAAACGGGCCGCCCGAGGGGACGAGAGAACCGGTTACACAGCAAGGGTTTCAAAAGCGAGACGTGAAACGTGTTCGGGACACGCATGGAAGGAGGCAAATCAAGGGAGTAGGAAACGGGATTAACCCTACGTAACACCTTGAAGGGACCAAGAAATCTGGGGGCGAATTTCATCGAGGGAACCTTGAGACGGAGGTTCCGGGAGGACAACCATACCCTATCACCCGGAACATAGGAAGGGGCCGCAACCCTACGGCGATCAGCAAACTTTTTCTGAGCAGCCGCTGAACGAGACAGCGCAACATGGACTTGATCCCATGTCTTCCGCAAAGAGGCGAGGTGCTGGTCCAAGGCGGGCATTCCCTTGTCGGAGAACGCACCGGGAAGGACAGAAGGACGAAACCCATAGGCAACCTCAAAAGGACTTAAGCCAGTAGACGAATGAGTCACCGTATTCCTGGCAAATTCAGCCCACGGAAGAAGGCGAGACCAGTCATCCTGGTGCGCATTAGTGAAGCAGCGCAAATACAATTCCACAGACTGATTAGCACGTTCGGCCGCACCATTAGATTGCGGGTGATAGGAGGAAGAAAACGACAAGGATACCCCCATCTCAGCACAAAAGCCCCTCCAGAACCGAGAGACAAATTGAGGGCCCCTGTCAGATACGATATCCTGGGGTACCCCATGCAATCGGAACACTTCTTTGGCAAATACCTGAGCTAACTGAACCGCAGAAGGCAGTTTCTTAAGCGGAATGAAGTGCGCCATTTTAGAGAACCTATCCGTCACAGTCAGTATCACCGTCTGACCATCAGAAAGAGGCAGGTCTACAATGAAATCCATGGATAAGTGGGTCCATGGTTTCTTGGGTATAGATAGAGGCATCAGAAAACCCTGGGGTCTCATATTAGGGGACTTACATTGCGTGCAGACCTGACAAGCCTGAACAAAATCCACTACGTCTCGCTTGAGTGAAGGCCACCAGAACTGTTGAAGGAGGCCCTTGTAGGTTTTGGTAACCCCCGGATGACCAGCAGTTTTGGCTGTGTGAAATAAAGTTAACAACTTTTTTCTGTCATTAGTTTCAACGTATAGTTTACCAACCGGCGTCTCAGGGGGTGCCTGGGTTTGGTATGTCTTAATACTGGTAAGGAAAGGTGAAGAAACAACCAAACGGGTAGCAGCTATTATCTGAGACTCAGGTACAATAGGTTCAGGAGTCGGGTTAACAAATTCTACTGGTTCATGCTGCCGAGAGATGGCGTCAGCCTTGGCATTACGGCAACCAGGTCTATAGGTGATAACATATTGGAAGCGTGAGAGAAATAGAGACCCATCTAGCCTGCCGGGCAGATAACCTTCTAGCATCAGCAATATAGGATAGATTCTTATGATCTGTTATAACCATAATTTTGTGTCTAGAACCCTCTAATAAGTACCTCCATTCCTTGAAAGCTAACACAATAGCTAATAGTTCCCTATTCCCAACATCATAATTCTTCTCTGAATCAGACAACCTTTTAGAAAAATAACAACAGGGATGGAGGGGTTTGTCATAAGACAACCTCTGTGACAGTACGGCTCCCACACCTGACTCTGAGGCGTCTACTTCCATAACAAAGGGAAGAGAAGGATCAGGGTGGTGCAGCACTGGAGCAGAGGCAAATGCCTTCTTGAGGGTTTCGAAGGCCTTAAGGGCTTCAGGAGTCCAAACCCTAGGATGTAGACCTTTTTTTGTCAACTTCGTTATGGGAGATATGAGTGGTGAAAAGTTTTTTATAAATTTCCTATAATAGTTGGCAAATCCTATAAAACGCTGGATAGCCTTTAGTCCTTGGGGAAGTGGCCAGGACATTATAGCTTCCAATTTAGCAGGATCCATACTGAAACCCTGTTCAGTAATGATATATCCTAGGAATTGCACAGAGGTCTGATCGAATAAACATTTTTCTAACTTACAGTAGAGTCCGCTCTGCAATAGCCTTTTGAGCACCATCCTAACATGGTTATGGTGTGACTTCAAATCAGGAGAATACACAAGTATGTCGTCAAGGTATACTACAGCACAGACATGCAATAGATCCCTAAGGACATCATTTATGAGGTCCTGAAACACGGCAGGAGCATTACACAATCCAAAAGGCATGACCAGATATTCGTAATGCCCACTGCGTGTGTTGAAGGCTGTCTTCCACTCGTCATTCTCCTTTATACGGACAAGGTTATAAGCCCCCCTGAGGTCTAATTTGGTGAAAAATTTAGAACCTTTAACACGATCAAACAACTCAGTGATGAGGGGGATAGGGTAGGCGTTTTTAACCGTTATATTGTTCAGACCCCTGTAGTCTATACATGGCCTCAAATCACCCTCCTTCTTAGCCACAAAAAAGAAACCAGCACCAGCAGGAGAGGAGGACCTTCTAATAAAACCTTTTCTTAGGGATTCCTGTATGTACTCCTCCATGATTTGGTTCTCTTTTTCAGAAAGAGGGTAGACCTTTCCCCTAGGAGGCATAGTGCCCGGTAAGAGGTTTATGGCACAATCATACTCACGATGTGGAGGTAGCTTATCTGCCTCCCTCTTCTCAAAAACCAAGGCAAGATCCGCATAAACAGAGGGCACAGAAACCGAGAGTGGTTTAGCCGTGGGTACGTTAAGTAAACAGACAGGATGTACATGAGCCACACAGTCTCGCTGACAAGATTCCCCCCAGGAAAGTATGTCTAAACAACCCCAATCAAGAACAGGGTTGTGTTTAACTAACCAGGGAAAACCTAGAACGATGGAGGCTGTTGGGGAGTTAATTATTTGGAAGGTTAACTTCTCTTTGTGCAAAACACCCACAGACATAACTATTTCCTGGGTTTCATGGGTCACCAGAGGTTTCTCCAGTGGTCTACCATCTATGGCCTCAACGGCCAAGGGTGTCTCCTTTCGAATCAAATTCAGGGCTGCGGTTTTGGCAAAGGTCTCATCCATAAGGTTGTCTGCCGCACCTGAATCGATCAGGGCTTTGGTTGTTATAGTGGTTTTATTGACCAAGAGAGAAACCGTAATAAACGGTCTAGAGATGGACATATGAGGGGACAAGGTCATAACACCCGAGGCCGACCCCTCTCTAGGCCTTAGGTGCTGCAGTTTCCCTGTAGTTTAGGGCAGGCTTTACAGTGATGCCCCCTCTTCCCACAATAAAGGCATAACCCCTCCCTTCTACGGTACGCTCTTTCGGCCTCAGTTAACCCTGTAGCACCCAACTGCATGGGTTCAGGGGATGGCTGCACAGGAGCGGGTAACGCTAGCAGGGAAGTACTGGGTAGAGCAGGTAACACCCGTGTATCCAACCGTCTTTGGCTACGCCTCTCTCTAATACGGTTATCTATAAGAATCACATAGTCTATAACATCATCTAGAAGAGCAGGTAATTCCCTGGATGCTATTTCATCCAGTATATAAGCGGCCAGACCCTCCTGAAAGGCTGTTACGAGGGCGTCATTATTCCAAACCACTTCAGCTGCTAGAGTACGAAATTCGATAGTGTAATCTGCTACAGACCTGTTACCCTGTCGGACCCTAAGCAGAGCCTTGCCAGCAGAAGCAACCCTACCGGGTTGATCAAACGTGCGTCTGAAAGCTGTCAGAAAATCAGCAAAGGACATAGGAGACGTATTTTCCCAAATGGGGTTGGCCCATGCTAAAGCTCTCCCGGACAAGTGGTTTATCAAAAAGGCAATTTTAGATCTGTCAGTGGGATAGGAGCGTGGATTCATCACCAAATGGATGTCGATTTGGTTGAGGAAACCACGACACAATGCTGGGTCACCACTGTAGCGCTGTGGCGGCGTCATGTGAACTACATGAGCGGGAACAGGTACTGGAGTGGGAATGGGTTCGGGCACAGCAGCAGCAGCCTCCTGAACGGCCGGTTGCAAGTGTGCAGTACGAGCCAGAATGGTTTGTAAAGCTTGAGCAAACTGATCCATACGGTGGTCTAAGCCATCCATTCTAGCCTCTTGATTAACTAGAAGCTGTGGTATGTCAGCAGGTTCCATTATGGCCCTGTTGTAATGTCACGATTCGGGGAACCAAACACGCCAACACACACACACACACACAAAGTGCCGTACCGGACCTTAGAGTGGCCGGGCTAAGCACACAAAGAATAGTCAGGAAACAAGCCGAGTAAGGGGAACCAGAAGACAGAATAACGTGAAACAAGCCGAGGTCAAAGGGTAGGAGAAAGTCACAGAGTCGGATAACAAGCCAGAGAGTACGTAACCAGAAGCACAAGTTCAGAATCAATACTAACAAGCAAAGACCACAACAGGGCAAGGAGGAACAGGAAAGGTAAGTATTTAAACCCTCAGGTTAATTCTGATTGGATGATTTCCAATCAGAATTAACAATCACACGTGGGAGATATTTAGACCTCCCACTGTGATTCTGGCACTTTGCCTTTAACGCCGGGTCAGGTGACTGAACCCGGCGTGTATAACCCTGGGCGGTCTCCCAGCGTGCAGCGTCATGCATGCTGCCGCTGGGGGACGTGGAGGGAACGGCGGGCGGCATCCGAGGCTGGAAGGATGCCGCTCGCCGTACCCACGAGGTGGAGGGGACCGCGGACGGCTGGAGGGTGAGTACTGCGAGCGGAGTGCAGCCTCCCCTCGCAGCCGTCCGCGGGAGCCTGACAGCGCTATAGTTTTGAAGTTCTTTTTGGAGATTTGGAAGGGAAATTAGTGGCTGGGATAACGTTAAAAGGACATCATCTGCGAACAGATTGAGTTTGTACTCTTTTTCCCCTACGTTTATGCCATGTATGTTTGGAGTGCGTCTGATGGCTTCTGCGAGGGGTTCCAGGGCTAATACAAAGAGAAGTGGTGACAGGGTCACCCCTGCCTAGTCCCATGTGTGATGTCGAATGGGTCTGATTGGAACCCTGAGGAAGATACCGCTGCGTTTGAAAGGCTGTATAGAGCTTTAATGGCCGTCAGGTATGTGGGGGGGGGAGTCAAATTTTTTAAGGGTAGCCTCTAGGAATTGCCAATTCAGTCTGTCAAAGGCTTTTTCTGCGTCTAGTGAGATTATGAGTCCTTGTTTCTGGTCCATGTGTATCGTCTGTATAATGTCTATCACTTTTCGTGTATTGTCTGAGCCTTGCCTTCCGTGCACAAAGCCCACTTGGTCGTTTGAGATAAGAGAGGGGAGGATGTTTTTAAGTTGGTTGGCTAGTATTTTTGCATATATTTTGGTATCTGAGTTCAGTAATGATATGGGGCGGAAGTTTTGACAGTGTGTCGGTGGTTTTCCTGGTTTCGGTAGGGTAATTATTCTAGCTGCCTGGTATTCCGCTGGGAAGTTCCCTGTATGGAGGGTGTGGTTAAATGCCCGTTTGAGATGCGGGGCCAGATGTGGTGTGATTTTCTTATAGTATTCGTTTGTGTAGCCATCTGGGCCTGGTGCTTTCCCTTGGGGTAAGGATGTTATGCAATCTGAGATTTCGTTTTCTGTGATGGGGGCTTCCAGGAGTTGCTTCTGGGTTCCAGACAGGGTTGGCAGTGGAATGTCCGTTAGATAGGACTGTATGCCTGTTTCTGTGAGTTGCGGGGTGTTCGGGTCTTTTGAAAGGTTATATAGTTGGCTGTACTATTGGGCAAATTCTTTACATATGTCTGAGGGTAGGTGGACTTTATGGCCCTTCTTGTTTACGATGTGAACTATCCGTGTTTGTTGCTGTCTTTCTCGTAGGCGTTGCGCTACAAGTGTGCTGGCTCTATTACCTTGGACGTATGTGCGAGTGTTTAGTCTATTTAGCATGAGGCTGAATTTGTGGAGTCTGGTCTCATTAAGTTTGTTTTGGAGTGCATTGATTTGTGTTTTGTGGTCTACTGATGGATGCTTTTGGTTATCTTTATGAAGATCCTCCAGTTGTCGTTTGTATTGTGTTGCTTCTTTTTCTGTTTGTTTTTTTAGGTATGTGGCTCTGCTTATCAGTGTGCCCCTTATTACTGTTTTGTGTGCAAGCCAAATCGTGTGGGGGTTCAGGTCATTTGAAGCGTTAGTGGAAAAGTAGCTGTGGAGTTCGTTTTCTAGGGTTTTGCAGTATTGTGTGTCTTTGAGTAGATATTCATTGAGACGCCATGGGTTTCTGTGTTTGTATTCGTATGAGCTCGCTAATGTTAGTGTCGGTGCATGGTCTGACCAGTCAACATTTAGAATGTCGCATTCCAGTATGTTGGCCATTGTGGATTCATGCATGAAGCATCCGTCGATTCTAGAGTATGTGTTATGTACTTTGGAGTGGTGTGTGTAGGCCCTTTCTGACGGGTGGAGGGCTCTCCATACGTCTCTTAATCCATACATGGATAGCAGATTCCTGAGGCTTCTACTTTGTTTTTTCAGGGTTTTGTAGTGAGGCGACGTGGGTGGCCTGGTTGAGTCTAATAGTGGGTCCAATACGTGGTTTATGTCCCCGCTCATGACTAGGATGCCTTTCCTAATTTTTTCAATTTTGGTGAGGACCCCGTGCAAAACGTTTCTTTGGTTGGTATTTGGTGCGTATATATTCACCAGTGTGTAGTCTATATCATTGATTGTGCAGTGCCATATAATGTACCTCCCTCCTGGGTCTATTGATTGGTCATGTGATATTACTGTGAGGTCTTTGCTGAGGAGAATGGACACTCCTCGAGATTTCCTCGGGGTGGTGGCATGCACTTGGTGAGGGTATATGTTGGGGTTTAGGTGGGGGTGAGCCTCGGTTCTAAAGTGCGTTTCTTGGAGATATACTATGTCGGCTTGTGCTTTTTTAAGTTCCCTTCCCAGGCGTGGCGTTTATATGGGATATTCAGTCCCTGTACATTATGAGAGTATAGTTTTAGGCTTATTGTGTATGGTTTTGGGGTACGCTGTCTTGATCTTTGTTGTCTTGGGAGGTGACTTGTGGCGGGTCGCTGCTCCTACTCTGAGAGGATTGTTTGGGGGGGATCTTTGCTAGGTAAAGGTGTAAAGGTTTAACCCTTCTTGGTTCTATAAGGCGATTGTGTTGCACATGTGGAGTGTTAACCCAGCCTTTTTGTGTAATGTATACAGAGATATGTGGCGTGCTTTGACTCTGATCATAGGTGTAAATAAAACATTTAACATATTTACAAAAACAAACAAAACAGTTGTTGAAACCTGAACATTGTGTCCTGGTCGTCCCGCTAGTTCCTCCCACTAGCTCACCCTATCTGGGGGGTTGGGGAGTCCGGTTTTAGCCTGCAGGCCGCTCCAGTGGTCGCAGCCCCAGGCCAACGGCTCTAATCTATTCTACCTTGAAGATAATTCTTTAGGGCTGTCAATCTTAGAAAATCTTTTATGTTTGGAGAGGCGGAGAGATCGTACCTCCAGCCTTGTGCTTTTAGCTTGGTGGTGATTATATGAACCTCTGCTCTTAAAAATAGAAATCGTCTCCTACCAAGGAGATCTAAGAATGCTAGTTTGGTATGGTAGCTTATCAGAGAGGTAACATTCGGATTCCAAGTTCCGATATGTTTGCAAGTGCTCTTTGTATACCCAAAAGCCTCATTGACAAATGCCTTAATGTGGTCCCTGGTTAAAACGGCCAAATAACCAGGGAACCCTACATTAACTCCTCCCTGGTGATGGTAGTAATGCGCTTGCCTTAAATGATACTGCTAGGGTTCAAATGGCTAGTATTGCCTGTGGAGCTGACACCCCTACCTGGCCATACAGCCCTGTGATCACCTCCCTCTCTACGTTTTCCGCCATTGGGGTTTATCGGTTACTAAGGCACTGATTTTCTTTACGTTATTTTATATTGAGCCTCTGTCCTTGCCTACTTCTGTGGTTTGGTTAATTTATTAGGGTAATTGTTGGGAGTGTTTTCGGGGGGGGGGGGGATATATGGGAGGGGGTTCTTCCCTCCTGAGGCATGACATACAGACTAAGCAGGGACCCATTCCTGTGGTGGACTTTCTTTTCCCACCTGTTGCGCATTTGCACAAAGGTCCTCTCTATCCCCCTATGTCCCCAGCCCCCCTATTCCTTTTTGGGCATTGAATAATTATCTACAGTATTGGCATATATACATTTTCAGTGAGTATATTACCCTCTCCCGTTTTGCTTCCCTTGATTGTCGGTAATCAATGTCCCAAAAACTCTGAGAGAGATTAACATTGTCCATGGTATGTTTTTGGTTGGTTCGGCCTATGTGGATGCCATCCGTCATCTCCTGGTTTCTTTCACTTAGCGTTGGTATTCTTGGATGCTTTGGAGTTTCTCGCTGTCTGCCATTCTTGATGTAGTGCCGACCGTTTGGTTGGTTTGTCTTTTTCTGTGGCTAGGCTGATGCCCCAGGAATGCAGCAATCAGGCTCTGTAATCTGCGTTTGAGGCTACCTGTGTTTTGCCGTCTCGTAGGATCAATAGCTTGATTGGGAACCCCCATCGGTACGGGATTTTCCTATTCCTGAGTTCAGCTGTGATGTCTTTGAAAGTTTTCCTGCGTCTTAGTATTTCAGTCGATAGATCTGCATAGATCTGTATCGCTTTATATTTGTCCGGGAGCTCATGTTGTGGTTTTTTTGAGCGTAGGATGGATTCTTTCACATGATAGTAGTGCATTTTAAGCACCACACGCGGTATAGAGGCGGGTAGGTGTTGTAGTTTTGCTACTCGGTGCGCCCTGTCCATGAGTAGCATATCGATTGGGAGGTCAGGGGCTAAGATGTGGAACAGGTCTGTGAGGTACGCCATGAGGTCTGGTGTCTGTACCTCTTCAGGGATACCTCTCACCCGGAGATTTTGGCGCCGGGATCTGTCCTCTAGATACATGTTTTTTACTTCCTGTTTCTCAAGTTTTGCTTCCAGTTCTTCATTTTTTTTCTGCATGCTGTTGTGTGCTTCGGCATATTCCGCCATCTTGCCTTCCATATGTGCTGTGCGGCTACCGATTTCTATAATATCTTTTTTAAGGTCTGCTATTGCTAATTTGACTGTTGTTTGAATCTTTGAAGCCATATCATCCAGCATTGTCTGGAATACTTCAACATGAATTTGCATGGTATTGTGTGTTAGGTGTTGTGGGGACTGTGGCTGGGATATCTCCCGGTCATCTCCACTGCCGTCACCATCTTGTGATATTTGCGCTAGTGATTTATGGCATGCCGTTTTCGCCGTGAAAAACTAGTGTTTTTCTTTGTTGTCAGTCACCCTCCTTGCTCCCCTCTGTGACATCGTTCCAGCTCCTCTCCCTGGGGTGATTTTATGCTGGTAGGTCGCTGTTTATATCGCTGTATTTAGCCGTCGGCTCGGGAGCTCCCTCTTCACGCGGACATTCAGTTCGAGCGCAGGCTCCGCCCCACAAATTGGAATTTATTATTGTTGGTGTTTTGTTTCTCACTGTGTTGTTGATTAATATTGCCTTGTTGATTAATATTTCATCTGTCTTAACAAGCATCGAACACTTCACTCCGTGGGTAACCCGCAGCGGCTTGTCCACCACATCTCCGCACGTGAGACTTGCCTGTAGAGACAGACGCTTTCCCTATGCTATCCCTACAGAAATGCAGTTGTCTGTCTGAACTGGTGGGGCTGAAGGGGTGTATGTGGTGTGTCACATTCTAGGTCAATGACGTCTTGATGTAAGAAAGTAGGGGTTACGTTGTCTACAGTCTTCCCTACTGTCTTTTGCAAATACCTTTGTATGCAAGGCAGTACGCAACATGTTAGAAATAGGAAGATAATGAACACTGTAACGACTGCTGTCCCGACTTGGAATAGGGTTCTCTGCCAACCATTCATCCATCCAAACCATCTGTCCCATACGTTAGTGACCCCTGAGTTCCCTTTTAATTCATCTGAAAGGCTATCTAATTTTTCTATTGCCATAGTTACCTTCCCATTGGGCCCGGTATTATCTGGAATGAATGTACAGCATGTCATGGTCTCGGGGAGGATTTTACATACGCCCCCTTCTCTGCTAGAATCATATCCAGAGCCATTCTATTTTGAAATGTAATTTGGGTAGTAGCTTGCAGCTGTTCTGCTAGGCCCTGTAGGTCATCTCTAGTGTAATTAACAAACCGCTGCTGATTATAATAAATGTAATTGATCCAATTGACATTCTTATTAGCAGTAATCATTGAAATCAGAGATTCAAACCCGGCAGCTACTTCATCCCTTGTTTTAAATTCGTTGAGTACCCCCCTTGGCACACCAATGGCATCAATATAAACATGCGGATCAAAGCTACCACAGATTGGGACTTCCCTTTTGACTCTGTAGTGTGTGTGCGTGGGGTCAAACGTATTATGATGGCCATCCGGGATAATATGGATAGGCATTTATGGCCTTAGTTAGTGTGCATTCTCCCCACCACAGTCCTGTTAGTTGGGATCTCAGTTGCTTATGATAGGTGGAGCAATAACTAGATGGGAATTTGCCCATGAATGTACCTGTGTTCCACCCAGCCGCTTTCCAAGAACTACAATGATGTCCCCATGACCCCCCTGTCACACAAATATATGGGTCCTTCTTACTGGGTATGTCCTTGTATATAGCAGCATATTGTGTTTGTGGGAAGGCGCAAGTAACAATATCACAGTAATCAAAAGAAAAGGTAGCTACATCTGTGTTTGAGGAATTGTACCAAAAATTGTAAACATGGTTATCTTTGGTTATAGCCACTTGCTGGGCCCCTGTAAAGTTTAGTAGCAAGAGAAAACACAAGGAACACAGAAATTTCATGGCTCAGTAGGGACAACGTCTTCTGGAGCAGGCACTTTCTTGCAGTGTGAGGTGTGTATCCAGGAACTCTTCCCTGCCAATTTTACTGAGGTAGCTGTAATCAGCAGCACTTGGTAAGGACCATCAAACCTTGGCTCAAGGGTGTGTTTCCTAAGGAATTTCTTGACCATAACACAGTCACCAGGGAGCAACTTGTGTGTACCTGTATTCGACTCAGGATCTGGAATAGAAGAAAACACTTGGGCATGGATTTTGGTCAAGGCATGAGAGAGAGAAGTCACATAATCTACCATAGCGTCTGACTGAATCTGAAGCTGTTGGGGGAAGTAACAACCCAACCTTGGTGCTGTCCCGAACAGGATCTCATAGGGAGATAAGTTGTATTTTCCCCTAGGGGTGTACCTCACACTAAATAATGCTAATTGAAGACTCTCAGGCCAGGGCATGTTAGTGTCTTGGGACATCTTAAGCATTCTGGCCTTCAATGTGCCATTCATGCGTTCTACCTTACCACTACTCTGCGGGTGATATGGTGTATGGAAGGCAAGGGTCACCCCCAGTGCTGCCCTGACTTCCCGTGTTAATGAGGCGGTAAAGGAGGTTCCTTGGTCACTTTCAATCACTTCTGGAACACCATACCGGCAAACAATTTCCATCAGAAGATGTTTGGCTGTAGTTCTTGCGGTAAGATTGGCCACTGGGAAGGCTTCTGGCCATCCTGAGAACATGTCCACAATGACATGTCCACTAATTCATAGCGTCCACTATTTGGCATCTGGATGTGGTCAATCTGTATCCTCTGGAAAGGGTATTGTGGTTTGGCCAAGTGGTTGGGTGCAGTTTTAACGATCTTCCCAGGGTTACATTTAGCACAAACTGCACAGGATCTACAATAGTTCTGTGTTAGAGTAGTAATACCCGGTGCTTCAAAGTATTTATCAATCAAAGAGTTCATCAGATGTTTTGACAAATGGGCAGATCCATGGGCCAATGGACAACAGCTGGATACATATTCTTGGGTAGACAGAACTTAAGGTTGATAGTATAAACATCATCTCAGAGAATGGCCCCCCTGCTCTTCCAACTCTGTTTTTCTTGGGGGGTTGCAGCAGCTTGTTGTTCCTTTAAGAGTCTGAGATCTGTAGGCAATGTTTGCATAGTCAAAGAAATATTGGATGAATAATCCAATATATATTCAGGAGTAGTATATACCTTTAAATTTTAAACTGGTATGTAGAAATGCTGAAATGACATAATATGACTTAAAATAGCATATGAATAGAGAGAATATATAAAACATATGATATAAGTATGCTTGTGTTGTAATAAATCCAATAGTAAAAAGAATGTCCCTATATTGATACAATTGTATCACTTGGGATGAAAATTCATAACAGTCCATGAATAATGTTAGCTATTTCAGCTTTTGCTTTTGCAAACTGGAATAGTGGATGCTGAATTAGCTGAATTAATGTAGTACAATAATATATTTAATTGCATATGCAGCAATGGTTGTTTGCAATATACTTATGTACTTATAGAAAAAGAAATAATAATCACTAACAGGTCATAATTAGTGACCTGCAGTATAATAGGAAAAAAATCCCTCCGGTCTTGCAGAGACTGGTGCAAAGATTCAAAAGTGCTTTCTGTGTTAAAAATAAATTTATTGTCCACAGAATAAAACAGAGATTGCACTTACAATTAAGCAAAGAACTAGATGTGCTGAGCTGGAATCGGGAAAGTACGGTGTTAGCAGCTATTAGGTGCTGGTCATGCCGGCAGATGATGTTGGGAGCCGCGTGCGTGTCACCGATCTTCCTGCGCTCCAAATACAGCCTGTTCGTCTTTACGGTAAGTGCCAGAAAGTAAAATAATGTCCTTACGCGTTTCGTGAGTCTGCTGCTCACTTCATCAGAGGATGTTGAGCAGGAGAGACCTTTAATATATAAAATTCTAGTTCATTAAGAGAGTCTATTGGAATGTTTGATAAAATAGATATGTCAGCATATTTTTCAAATAGTATAATTTCAATGTAATGCATTTGTAAAAATCAGTGGATACCAGTTAATCTAAATGATTGATATAGACATATTATTGGAAAAGGAGATTTCATAACTCATTGAAAAATTTACATATACATAAGAAAATGATTCTATATAAGAGAACAATAGTATTATATTATATAAGAGACTGATGTTAAGGAGAAATCGTTCGGACTAAAAAAGAACAGAACAAGAATAATTCATTAATTGAATAAAAATATAATTAGACATAAAAAAGAGAATACTTAATTTTATAAAAGATTTTATAAAAAATTTCTAAACATTTAAAAAAAAAAAAATGTATACAAGTTTTTTATAAGAATGCTCGCAACTCAAAATCTACATTTAGTCCCTTTGGTTCTAATGTTTCTAATTTAAATATCCAACTTGCCTCTGCTTTATCTAATTCTTTTTCTAAATCTCCTCCTCTCCATGGGATATTGACTTTTTGTATTGCCATAAAACTAAGACCTTCAGGATTTTTTGCATGTTTAATGTCAAAGTGCTTGGAAAGATTATGAGAATGGAGTCCTTTTTTGATGTTCCTAATATGTTCTCCCATTCTTATTTTAAATGTTCTTTTTGTGCGTCCTATATATAGTTTTTCACATGGACATTTTAATAAATATATCACACCCTTAGTGTCACATGTTAGTTGTGATTTAATTTTAAAATATTCTTTTGTTTGAGGATGGGCAAATTGTGTGGTTTTGGTTGGCTGATTTGGATTATTTTTATAGGCTTGACATCTTCCACATTTCCAGAAACCTAAGGTTTTCTTTGAAATAATATTGTTGTTTTCTTGTATTTTTTCTTGTTTAGTTGTTGGAGCTAATAGTAGACTTAGATTTGGGGCTTTAGAATATATTATTCTAGGTTGCTTTTCTAATATTTGATCTAGTTGAGGATCCCCTTTTAGAATATTCCAATTTTTTTGTAAATTTTTTTTAAATTCATGAGTATGGTTGTTTTATCTAGTTATAAAAGCTGGAGCTTCTAAATTGGTATTGCTAGTTTTCAATTTTGTTGTTAAAATTTGATCTCTTGTTAGGAGGGAAGTTTTAGATAAAGCTTCATTAAGTATTTTTGTTGAGTACCCTTTTGCTTGGAATTCTGATATCATCCTTGTAGTTTGTTCTTTGCAGATATTAGGTTCTGAACAGTTCCTCTTGATCCTCCTAAGTTGACTGAATGGAATATTATTTAGCCAGCTTTTTTGTGGAAACTGTTGTGTGGAATGAAGCTATTACAAGCTACTGTTTTTCTAAAAGTTTTAGTTTACAGTTTGTTATTCTTAATGTAGATTTCCAAGTCTAAAAATCTAAATCTAAAAAGTCTTTCCGAGGATTGATTAAACGTAAATTTTAAGTTATAAGGATTAAAATTAAGATATTCTTTAAAATTTTCAAGCTAAAGTTAAAAGTTAAAGTAAAAAATTGTATGGTATATAAAGAGAACCCAATTTTTAAAAGGACAGTGAGAATAAAAATAAGTATAAGTAAAATAAAGATGTGTGTAATATCATAAAGGTACATATAAGATATGAAATGGAATGGGATAATATTGTAAAAAAATAAATGTATAAAAAATATATATATATAAAAAGGGGGGAAAAAAAAGATATATAAAAAAATTCCGGATTTATATTTTTTACCTAAGATACACAAAGATGAGAAAACCCCTCCAGGCAGACCTATAGTGTCTGGTATTGACTCAGTTTTAGCCAATCTTTCGGAATATCTGGATATTTTACTTCAACCCTCTGTCAAACGCATGAAGTCGTACCTTAAAGACTCCATGTCGCTTTTACGTAATTTTAAAGATTTTATTTGGTGTCAAGATTATATTTTAGTGACGTGTGATGTTCAATCCTTGTACACCATCATACCTCACACTCTGGGATGTGAAGCAGTTGAGAATATCTTAAGAACAGAAAATGTAATTCCAGAAAGTCAAATCAGCTTCATAATAGATGGGATTAAGATCATTTTAACCAATAATTATTTTTGGTTTTTAGACTCATTTTTTTATACAAAAAAAAGGAACAACTATGGGAACCAGGGTCGCCCCCAGCTATGCTAACCTATTTATGGCCGAATGGGAATCTTCGGCCTTTTGGGGAAACCATGGCTGGAGGGCGAACCTGGTTTCCTATTTTCGTTATATAGATGATGTGTTTTTTATCTGGCAAGGCTCAGAATCTAATCTTAAAGAATTTTTAAACTATCTTAATAATAACAATAAGGGCTTCATCCTTACCTCTGAATTTAGCAAATCATCTATCAACTTTTTAGATATCAATATTTTTATCCAAAATGGATCCTTACAAACCAAAACGTTTTTTAAGAAAGTGTGTACAAACACTATAATTGATCAATCTAGCTGTCACCACAGACCATGGTTGGAAGGTATTCCTAAAAGTCAATTCCTTCGCCTTTATCGTAACTGCTCACAACCTAGTGACTTTACAACTCAATCAACCTCACTTAAAAATAAATTTATCAAAAAAAACTACTCAAAAGAGAAATTAGACACCACTTTAGATATAGTTAAAACTCAAGATAGAAATGCTCTACTAGAGTACAAAGATAACAAAAAGGATCCACCTATATTACCTATTATCCTGGATTTCAATAATAAAAATAAAACTATAAAAAAAAATTTGAATTAACATTGGCACATCCTTAAACAAGACGATCTTCTAAAAGACCAAATTCCTGATAGACCTAATATTATATTCAGAGGGGCCCCTAGTTTTAAAAATACTCTCACTAAAAATTACACAAAGAATTTTACACATATTTAAAAAAAAAAAAATGATGACAAAACCTAAAGGTTTTTTTAGATGTAATAGATGTATTGTATGCAAAACTACAAATTTACCAACTACTAGGTCTAAAATTACCCATTTCTCTTCGACCAATACAGGCAAGTCATACCCTATAGGAGATTTTATTGGTTGTAATTCAAAAAACATTATTTATCTTTTAGAATGCCCTTGCGGGCTACAATATATAGGTATGACAAAAAGATGTTTGAAAACTAGATTAGCCGAACATTGCCGTAATATTACTAAAGGTTTCGAAAATCACTCTGTATCCAAACACTTTATTAAACATAATAAAGACCCGAAATTACTTAAATGTATGGGTATTGAACAATGTAATATCCCCTGGAGAGGGGGTGATATAAGAAATATTCTTGGTAAGAAAGAAATGGAATGGGTTTTTCAACTTAAAACCCTCTCTCCTGAGGGTCTTAATTTGGAATTTGATCTTTTTAATTTTCTATAATTTTATAAATGTTTTGCCATTAATTATTATCTATATTTTTTCTTTTTATAGATCTTTTTTTTTTCCTTTTTATATATATATATTTTTTATACATTTATTTTTTTACAATATTATCTCATTCCATTTCATATCTTATATGTACCTTTATGATATTACACACATCTTTATTTTACTTATACTTATTTTTATTCTCACTGTCCTTTTAAAAATTGGGTTCTCTTTATATACCATACAATTTTTAACTATATGTTTTCTATATATTTTTACTGTTGCCTTATTTGCATCATACTCTTTAGGTTCTGTTTTTTATTCATATACTGTTTCTAGCCTCTTATGGCATCTTTATTATATTATTGATGGTAATCCTACATTGCCCATCTTCCTTTTTGGGGCGCACGTGACGCGGAGACGTTACTGGTCATGCCGCGTCACGTGATCGCCGAAACCCGGAAGTCATCTCTCCACTTTGTGGAACACGTGACGTGATCGCGTCACTGACCGCGCCGCGTCACGTAACCACTAATACCCGGAAGCCATTGACTTCCGTTTCTTTTCCCCTCTATACTCCTTATATCTCCTTTGAACCCTGACCCACCAATGATGTTATGGGCCATGTGCGATCACATGATCGCTTGCACTAATATACTTCCGGTTTCGTTTTTATTCACCATTTAATTTTAACTAATTATGTAATTATTACACATTTGTATTAATTCTATAGTCATTTTAGATTTTGTATATATTTATAAAGCTTGTACAACTGTATATTTATGTTTATTAACAG